CGCACACGCACACTGTTTTGATAGATATGATTGAATTTGAACTTTGTATAACGGCAATAAAGTGAAAACTGACTCTTTGACTTTAGGAACCTAACTACATTGTTTAAACAACAATGAGTGCTTTATACAATAACTATAAAGCTGAAATTGACTCGACATTTTAGTTAGAAAACGTTTGTATGGCAAAAAGAAAAGGTTTTTTCCGGCAATTATTCGAATTTTTCTCAACGTAAAATCCATCCTTGAACTTCAACAGTTATTTAAAAAAAAGAATTGCCCAAATTGGTCCAGACGTTGTTGAGTTATGCGCTTACCAACACATTTTGCGATTCATTTTTATATTATAGATTAAACAAAAATCTAATACTTTGAAACAATCAATTAATTACTAAGGAGAATGGGCAGTGTGCTGCAGCACCACACTTGAAGACCAGCCACCACTGCAACATAAAACAATGCTCACCTGTCAACAAGGCCAGATAAATATTTATCAGCAACTCTGCGAATTTGTTTATGGGTATTGTTGAAATTAATAAGAAGGTATTGCGCATGATCCTCCAATTCGCGTTCACGATTTTCATCTTTTGGTTTATTGGACATTACTTCTATAAATTTTGCAAATACTGTGTCTCCCACACTACAAAACAGAAACCATATAATGATAAGGAACAAATATTGTGTTTTTCCAAAGAAAATGCAATTGATACATCTCATTAATATCTTACCTGCACACGCAAGCCCACATTCCTGACTTGTCCTTTTGCAATGCAGAATCACTCAGATATTCCAAAATAGGTTGCAAACTAGGTTCGCTTGAATTCTGTACTCTGAATATCACAATAGACAAGTACATTAAAAAGTAGAGGATTATCATTTTTAAAGGTACCCACTTAATTTACTTATTTTCGACTTTGTACCATAAAACAAAAATTCCTTCTTTCAATTTGGTTTTCAAAATTATAAAAAGTGGAAGATCAAATAAAATATGATATAAAAAATTATATTTCTGATGCAATAGGTGAAAATGAACCATATTACTGTTTCTCTTTACCCGTTAGCAGTTTTGGCGTCTGTAATTTGTACTGAACTCTTTAATAAACTCTACAAAACCAGCATTGGAGGGGAAAATTTTGACATAAGTTTTTTTTTTTCTTCATTTGTTTTCTGTAAATTAATGATATATTTATGAACCTCACAAAGAAGGTTTGGAATTTTAAACTGATGACACCAATCATCACTAAAGCAACTCAAAGTTTGTGCACAGACATGGCATCAGAAAGATGCGAAATTATATGTACATGTATATTTTGTATACATCCAACCTGAATACATGACAATTATGGTCAATAATTAATTTTAACAGAATATTTGTAATGCATAAATGGTCTGAAAACACAAACTGCGTACTACCATGACAATTACAAAACAAATTAATATCCAAAGGTAAGCAAGATATAAATAATGTTTTGTATCATTAACAGTGCATGATAACATTGCATTGGCATACACAACAGTGCAGTAACAACTGCAGTCAACATGATGACTTTTTTTTAAATACAAAATATGGAGAGAAGCACTGCACTGAAGAAGTATCAAGTTATAACAGCCAAGGAACGGTTCATCAGAACCATAAATTCAAAGAAGACTATAAACAAACTATTATAAGATAGCTCTCAACGCTCCGAAGTAAATATGAAGGTACCTGATGCATAAAATACACAATTTAAGGATACAAACTTACCTGAGAATTTCTAACCAATATACTGAAAGTAGATATGTGCATTGAGCAAATGAAAGAGCCTTTACAAAAGCAGTAACATCAGCAGGATGTTCCAAGAGATTTAAAATTTGTGTTTTCAGGTCCTGAAGTTCTGCCTGAAATCAGATGACATATTTAAGATAGATGAAAATCATCGCACCTAAACTTATACTTCTTATAAATATTTTTTTATTTTATTTTTTATTTTTACAACTATTTATTTGTTTTTGAAAAATTTTAAAGGTAATTTGAGATTAAATAAAAGAAAACTTGTCAACAGGATAGACATTGAAGCTATTTTTGGGCAATGGTCCCTTATTTGTTCCATTCCGAAATCTCATCCAATACATTGAACCGATTAAAATTATACAATTTAAAAACTTTTAACCCACTGATGCAACCAGTCTCACATGATCAATGGAGAAACAGGCCTTTTGCCACCTTAAAAAAGTGGGAATTTTCTTATGGGCTACAGCATTCCAAGACATTTATATCTGCACTGAGTAATACATTGATAAATGAATCAAACACTTCAATAGTCAAATTACTAAAAATTCTAGTCACATCCACCCCAGCGATTTCAGTGCTTCTACTTTATGTTCTGCACTTTAGAACTAATGTTAAAAAAGCAATTCTTCTCCATCATGTCTATGAGTGTCTCTTCCAGTTCCAATTGCAACATAACTACTTCATATGAGTAACTTCACATCTAAATCTTCATTTTTACAGGTTCTGAAAGGATCATTTTCTTCATATCGCCCCTGAATTCACCAATTCGGTACTCTGAGAGACATTTGATAAGCTTTCAATTGTTTCAGAAATTATTTAAGGAATTTTGAGATGAACTTTTGAAGTGTAAGTAAGAATGTAGGTACCAGTAATGTATATCCACTACTGAGGTTTCAAAAATACTCCTTTTGAAAAGGAAATTTAAGTCAAATCAGCTCAACAAGACTAGTTGCTAAAAAACTGACTGCCTATTAGCACACAGAATCATTTTAAAATACCCGCTTGAAAATCAGATTTAATATAGATGCCAAACATTAAATAAATAACCGACCCTAGGTTTAATCAGAACATGCTATCTCTTCATCCACAACACACACACCCCCTGCCCAGCAAAAGAATAACTGAAAATTTACAGGTCTTATAAGACTGAGAATGATAACAAAGTAATTGCATTATTTTCATAAACATTCTTCCCAGTCCCTTGTTTTCTGACGTGCCTTTGCATTTTCATCATTGCCACTAACAACAATGCAAATGTCCTGTTTCTGTAAAGCACAACAAATTTAATAAAACCAGTTACATTTGCCTAAAAAAAATTGAGAAAATATCATGAAAAAAAAATATGTAAGGATAGAGAAAAAAGAGATGGAAAATACTATGATGACAGTTTCCCAAGATTATTTCTGCATTAGAGGGTTAAAAGAGATGATTCTTCATAAAGGTTTTATTATAAATGTCATTGAATTGAGAATAACAAAGTTCCAAAGTATGGTGTTAAGGCATAAATTTACCAATGAAACACTATCATTTCGAACTGCAGATGTGTACTGAAGCTCTCGCATTTCTGATCTTGAAGATGTTTGAGACACAAGATAAGGAGATTTAACTGCAATTGTTTTCACACCATCATACCATTCATTAGGCCACAGTCCTGAGAAACAAAATTACATAAAAAAGTCACTACAGAGGTTGGAAGTCACAAAGTATTACTTCAAGAATATTTTTAAAAAAGTAGAGAAAGATTTGCCCTTGTCACACATCTAACAGTGCATATATCCCTGTATTATTATTTTAATAACACAATAAAGTAAAATTACGAATAACATGTTCAAATTACTCATTGTCAAAATTTGTCTCCTAGTATACTATTTTTTTATTTTTGGTATGAGTTATGGATCAAAATTTTTTATCGATCTTGCAATGGAGTTCAATTTTGTTTTACATTTTATTCTAACTTCAAAAATTCATAATTCCTAAATAGGTGCACCTAAAAAGAAGTAGCTTTATTTCCAATGAGATCATTTATTTTTCTATTGAATAATTGGACACACATTAATTTCTTTGATTTGGTTATTCATAAATGTTGCATCCATGAACCAGTGGCCAGGAGAGGGGTTCTTGAAGGAAGTCCCACACTAAGAGAAGCACTTAAATGCGACTGAAATACAATTCATGGCTTGGGAAAGTTTCTTGCCAATAATAGATGTAAAATCTATTTTTTTATCTGATCTTTAAATCCTTATCTAATGTCCATTTAATTTTTAAATCACTAAAACCGCAAATGTGCTTTGGTTCTTCTGTGAATGAAGTTTTCCTAGAGTTCCAAACATATCTGGTTTAGGTGCATATAACTGCTGTACAGCATTGGTCTAATGTTTCTGTTTTATATTGTTATTGAAATAATAATATTTAGTACCAATTTTGAAGTTCGTTTTTTCAGATTTTCTGTTGTTTTTTGTGTAACTGAGATCTGAGGTTCAGATATTCATAAATTTCAGTTTAGATAGCCGGAAATTTATGTAAAAAGGTAATTTGCAACATTTTTGTCCCTTTCACTTCACAATATCTTTATTGTATCAAATGAATCCAATATATTTTTCTTCTTCAGATGTTTAAATATTGTGGATTGACTGCATCTAAAATAGCAGCTGAATTAAAAATCTTCATCATAACTTATTATAACAAAAGCAAAACTTTATCAAGATATAATAAATAATAGATAATTGTAATTTGGTATTATTCCTTTTAGTTATAAGTTTGTCTCTTAAAGCATTGTACTTAATTAAAAGCATTACAGCAAGCCTTTCACTGCCCTGTCTGGAACTTTCCCCCAGCCTGAGGTGCATGAGCGCTTCATCCAATTACAAGTTCCCTAGTCGATGTAAACATTTTTTTTATTACATAATCATTCGCTTTTAAGAAAATACATTCCAAGAAAATCATTACATTTTTTCCAACATTTCACGGGCCAGCAGGTTAAAGTCCTAGCTCATTAATCAAAGTCGTTCATTCACATCTTAACTAGTGTCAAAAAATCATTCACTATAAACACCCATATCTCGAACACATGGCTAAATCAAAACATCATCTCAAACATTTTACCTGAATCAGCAGCAGTGAATCCCATGACAACAGAATATAACCAGAAGTCTCTGAATAGCTTATGTAGTCTGGGCTTAGGGTGACGAATAGGTGGAAGTCGTCGCATAAGAACTGCTATTACTGGAATTAAAACTCCTAGATTTCCAGCACTGCTTGATGCCTTCAAAGTTAAGTATTACATGTAAGGTGCTTGGAAACAAGGAAGTATCACTTAACAGTTAATTTCTCAAAATTAAAATTACCAATATACAATACTTAATATAGATTTTTTAATGCACAAAACAATAAAGAAAAAATATGTTTTATGTGGTTCTTTGTATGTAATGGACGAGGAGGAGGTAGAGGGAAATAGAAGGGAGAGGGATACAGGTGAGGAAGGTGGGTTTTCATCAGCACTAAAAAGTAAATTTTCAAAATGAGCTAGTGATAAAAATTTACCTTGAGGGCTGCAGGAGCCTTCTCTGAAGCTCGTTTGCCTTCTAACCCTAATTGTACAAACAATTCTAAAAGTCTAACCAGAAGTTCGTGCATTCCAGCCTCTCCTTGCAAATTGGCTGCAATATTTGCTAATGCATTTACTACAGCTCCAGAAACATGCCTAGATAAGAAAAATAAATAATGAAAATGCAATACAAAATACTTTGAATTTTTTATTAATTCAGTAATCTAGAAATTATGTTCCTACTAGCAGTCTTCCTAATAAAACACTGATGTTTTGAAACGAAATAGAACTACATACGAATTCAAACAAAATTAATTATCAAATCAATTTGGTGAGAGAAAGTTATTGCTATGTTTTCACATAACAAGTTTCATAAAAACAAACGGAGAACTGGTAATGAATACCAATTTACTCTGGTTTCTAGGTCATACACAATTTTCTATCACACAACTACAATTATTTAAACGAAATATTATTATCCATATAAAAACTTAAGAAAATATCCACCAACCTGTATTGGTTTTTTCGATCATCAGTTGCAGATTGTGAGTACGCTGCATTACTAGCTTCTACTGTTATCATGGTAAACATCCTCATTATTTCTTCATACACTTGATTCTGTAAAAGTAATTTCAAGTTTGAATGTGCAATAAAACAATGTACAAGTTTGTATGATCAGTTTAAATATTTAATCACTATAACATAAACTTGAATACAAAATGCATTAATTAAAATGTATTCTGTTAATGGAATAAAATGAATAAGTTTTATAGCTGACAAAATAATTCTTGCATCTGTATTTTTACTTTCAAGTTGCTTACTTAAAATTTAGAGCAAATATTAATGTCAATCCATATCTTTTTCACACATTTGAGCACACAAACACACACGTGCACCTATGCATGACACACATTGACAAACACATGCACCTACATGCATGCACACACATACACACATGCACACCCGTGCATACACACACATTGATGCACACGAAAATAGCAGTAATATTACATTCAACATAAAAAAATATATATTAGGAAAATCAACCACATTTGTACCTCACACTTTGAAATAATCATGCACCCTAGCTGATCTACAATTAGAATGTCAAGAGTTGATGGAGCGCGGCAAAAACGTTGTTGAAAAAACTGCAGAATAGTTTCTGTTGTTTTAGGGGTATCCTTAAGAGCAACAGCAACATGGCCCAGCATTATTACAATGTTTGTTGATATTAACGAAGATTCACTGCAAAAAAACAAATTTTCAAATTTATTCCACTTTGTCAAGTTTTTTATTGCTTTAATTTAAAACAGAATAATTAAACACACCTATCAGATTTCTCAGCAGTAAAAAGTCTATTAGAGACTGCAGCAACCAGAGCACGAACACAATATGGATCTACACTGTAGGCTGCCTTCAATGCAATACAAAGATTCTCAATAGCAGCATCTCGTAATTTTTCAAAGGCTGTTTGAGCAGTGGAAGTTGTATGGGTATCCCCATGGACATCTTTTCCTTGCACTGTTATTTTTAACTTTGATTCTTTGTTTTCACTATGCTGGCGGTGCAATTTAAAAAGAATAGGACTAGGTGTGACTAAGAAATCACGTAAGCAATATATAGAAGTGCTTGCAATATTTGGGAACTTTTCAGCCAGTTTGCCTAGCCCCTAGAACATAAAAAGCAAGAAAGTATGTTAGAAAAAATTAGCAATCATTTTTTAATGCAATACCACAAACTTCATGCTGTGCTGTAAATTATCACGAGCAAAAGGCTTTACATACAGTGACTCAGATATTCATGAAAATATTTTATTTTAGAATCTTAAGAATCATAAAAAAATTTTTTTTAAAGATTCTTAATCATGAAAAATGTGTTTATTTATTATATCTCAATTTCTTCTCCTGTTGAAGCAAAATAATCCTCAAGAATGCGTAGTTTAGCTAATTTGAACTTTTTAGTTATACTGACTTTTTTAATATTAAAGAAAATGTATTTTTGAAAATTGTTGAATTGTACGAATAGTTCATTTCATGTAAAAATTCATTGACATTGTTATTTCTTTTCAATACTTCTTGAAAAATAAGTCAACTAATCACATTGCATTATCTCTACGATACTTTGTTTAAATCATGGAATTAAACACCTGTAAATTAATAATAAGTAAATCATCATCATGAAATCACTGGCGATTAACAAAAAAATCAAGACAATATGATCAAAAATGCAACCAACACTTATTTTTTACTAATACTTACTAGTTTCGATGAAGTAGGAGTATATTCCATGAAATGTGTATTTTGAAGCCTTTGTATTGTTCTAAGTAATTAAATTATACATACATACTGTATTTACAGTATGCAGTGGTGGATTTATGTAATTTCCCAACCTAAGCAAATTTTTGTCTTAAATCATACTATTTCTTGTTTCTTTTTCACAAAGTACAACTGTATTAACAAACAGAACTGTTCTTCCTTCTCTAATGAACATAATATTAATGTATAAAATAAAGAGAACAGGCATAAGATCGAAGCCTGTGGGACCCCATATTCACTTGGCAAAGTATTGGAAAGATGAGTAAATTATGTTCTTTTGAGATTGTATGGTATTTCTACTCTTTGCAATTAATGTATAAGGTACAAGGATATTAATCAAGAGAAATACAATAAATTCCATATGAAAGTAATTTTAAAACCAAACTGTTATGGTGAATGGCTAAAAAGCTTTCGATAGGTCTAGGAATTTACCAATATGCGTTCCATTCTGGTCCACTGATGACCCCAACATCTTTAAGAAAAGATAAATTGGGCAATTTCATAGGTTTTGATTTTCTAAATCCATGTACCTAACACCGAGTCTGAAAACACTGTCTTTCGTGAGAAAAGTTTCCATTCATACTTAGAAAAGCCTCTCCAATATTTTTGAAAAATTGACAAATTGATGTTGGCTGATAATTTTTGGCTGAATTTAATATTTGTACCTTTTTTTAAAAGAGTGACCTATTTTTTCTATTTTGAAAACAACCTGAAATATACCTTTGTGTAAAGAAGCGTTGAAAAAGTGAGTTAACGGGTGTGTGAATTAGAATATTGCTAGTTTACTAAGGCAAGTATTTTTAAGAACCTACTGGAGAAAAACAAACTTCCAACTGAAAATATTAGATCTTCAACAGATTTGAAGAAAAAAACAAGTTAAAATAAATTCAAATTGAAATTGAATAAATATTTGCACATTTCAAAATAAATTTATAAAAGCCTTAGAAATCTGAAATTTAACCTTCACTTTTTCACAATCTGTTAATTGAGTGATTGTTTCTAAGTAACTACAATAGTTTGGCATTAATCCCATTAGTGTAGTGTATTTTTTTATGCTCAGGGTGGCAAAAAAAAGTACACTATTTTAATGATAAGTGTTCCTCCCCTGCTGGATGGTGAGATCTAAAGAACTACATTTTTTTAAATTGGCTGGCAGACGATATCTCCCTCTCCATTGTGGTAGTGTAGAGCAGGAGTGTCAGTATGTGTGAAGGGGAGACGATACAACAAGGAAGAGGAATGATCGTGTGTAGCCCACTGTTAGGGCACTGCTCTGGCGTTTGCCTGGTATTGATTGGAGAACGCTTGGAAAACTACTGATCAGAGCAGCTGGCCACTAGAACTCTCCTTCAGACAACAGTTGAATTCTACCTAGCTACGTAGCTAGTGTTGAAAATCCAATTTTATCAGTACTTGAACCCTAGGACCTCCCAGAGTCATTGCACAGACAGAGGCACTGCTGGCTCTAAGCTAAACTAAGCCGGAAATCTGAGTATTGATCTCAAAGTCTCCAAATATTCTATTGAAAATAAAAACAAATTTATTATTGAGCAAATTTACCTCCAGACACACCATTAGAAGAGGCATATGAGCGAGAACAAGCTTGTGGCCTTGGTTACAATTTATTTTCTCAGTGAGACGTCCACATAAACTATCAGCTCCTACAAACATGAATTTTAAAATGTTATATTGAAGAAAAACACATTTTTAACAGATACATCACAGCTAACCAGCAAATGAAGGTACAGCATTAAAAATTACAACAGAGAGCCATTTTCAGTAAATATCATTCTGCATTCAAGGGTCTCAAAACAAGCACAAGCAAAATAGAAAGGGGTAAAATTACACTAAATACGATTTTCAACAAAACTCTCTGGTTGAAGATTTTTCACTTTCAATTTCTTTTGTAAAGTATAAAGCTGCAATAAAAAATGTAGCAAAATACCCAGCAGATCAAGACAATTGTTAATAGCTCAATCACAAATGTAGGGATGGGATCTTAATAACTCAAACATCTGTAACATATAATCCAATAATGTTTTCCAGAATATATTCGACCTTTCTTCACACAAATTAATAAATGTTATGTAGGTATTATGCATTACTCTTGAAAAATAAATGTGTTATATTCAAATATACATTAGTAGGCTTTATGGAACATTATCTTTTGAGAAATTATCTCACAAAAATATTAACATCCCATCCCTACAAAAAGGAAACATTATGCATTAGTACTACAATGATAGATCCATAATAGCTGAATACAAACTCTAAAAAGAGGGTTATAAATTTCATTCCGTGTCAATAGGGCTTTCCGTAGCATAAAAAAGACATCAATGGAAAGAATATGACAATCGTGTTAGTAGACACAACTAGTCTTGATAGTTTAATATACAACCTGGGCCCTTTCTTTTGATGACGTTTGTCAGAGCTGAGAGGAGGGTACCAGCATCATAGCCATCCCCCACTGAAAAAAAACCAAAGTGCCCACGACATCTGCAACTGCATGGTAACTTACAAACGCTTTTAGCAATATTCTTTCATTCACATTGCTCATAAAATTCTGTAGCTTTTCCATTTTCTCGATCTTCTTATACTTAACATACGTACTGATGCAGTCGAACTTCTAGCTTCTTGGTTAGTTAACGCTCAATGATATGAAAAATCAAATTTTATAGAACCATAGTTCAAGAAATCTTAACATAAAATATTATTTCTTACCTCTTCAACAATTCAATGATACACTTAACAACTAAAATATATCATTAAAAATTGATTTATAAAATGTTAGAATCTATGTTGAGATTGTAGAATGTAGATATTACAATCCCCATAAACAATAACCTTCAGTGGCATAAGTTCAACAGAGGCAGCCCTTTGACCAACACAATTAGCCTCCAAGTTGAAGATATCACATTAATTTAATTTTGTGGTTATAAATTGAATTTTAGGAGTAAATATGTTTATTGAAATCATTTATTACAGAAAATACAGTATTTCATGATATAATATAAAATTTAAATTTTTATCTTTTCCTCAGATTTACGAATTTATCAATGGCGGTAGAAATATTATTTTTCAACCACAACTACTTCATGCTCAATTGATAATTAAATCGCATTAAAAAACATTTTTTGATATTCCAGCCAAAGCCAAATTCAAACGCAAAAAAATATTTTTGGTAAAAAATAAGAAAAAAATTACTCTCAGAACCTTGGAATGAGCTCAATAAAATATCAAATGTTTCTCTCAAAAAACAATTGGTTATGATTTTTTTTTTTTTTTTTTTTTTTTTTTTTTTTTTTTGGTGTGCTGTAGTTAAAAAAATAGGAACAACTTTTACCATTTCCCCGCCTTTATATCACTTTCACTTTAAATACACTTTGAAAATGATTGCAACAGTTCTAAGCATTTATTTTAGTGTTTATTATACATACACGTTGTAGCATCCAACATTTTGACCTTGAAATGTAGATACAAATTGTCATGTTTTTAAAGTGGACGAACGGCCTCCAGATAGTCCACGATGCTACCCATTCCAAACACCCTTATGCTGGTGATAAGCACACATTAAACAAGTTGATTTATTGCAAGTTTCATACTTTCTGCAACTTTTCCCAAAGTTGCTTTTCCTGGGGAGGGTGCACCGCCCTAGAGCCTGTAAGGAGCAGCTGTTATTGTTCTCGACAATATAAAAGTGTAACCCCGTTGCTGACCCTACGTAAGATAAATTAACCCTATGTAAGATAAATTAACCCTATGTAAGATAAATTAACCCTATGTAAGATAAATTAATTTTTTTGTTAATCGGTTTACTATATTCATATTTCTCAATGGTTACATAAAATAAAATTTGACTTCATTTGTCAACTTTTGGTATGTTTTGCATTCTGTCTATTACAATATAAAAACAGCACTGCATTTATTTCTCCTATGATTTTATCCAACTCAGTTTCAGATAAAAGACTTAATATTTTATTTTTAATATGAGGACTTAAATATCACAGGTCCTCCGGACCCTTGGGGACCCTGAACATGGACTTGTTGGTCTCTATTGAACTTACACAACTGATAACGTTCTTATAACTGAAATAAAATTATGTAATTAAAAACAAAATAAAATACAAAGGTACACTTTTCAGGTCTTTATCAATCTGTTCTGTTTCTACTTAAAACTGTAAGGAAACACACAGATAAGCACTATCAAATCATAAATTAAATATATATATTTCAAACAAATAACAATCTATTTAGATAATGAAATGTTGGTCAGGTAAATGAAAAAAGTTTTAGTTTGCCAACATTTCAGAATTTATTATTACTTAATCAAGGCCATTAAACCAGAGAAACATAGTTCACTATCAAATATAATCAAACAATTATGAAACCATACACTCTTTAAAAAAACGTTTAAAAATAAATAATAACAGACAATTGAATATTTCAAGACAATTGAAAATAACACAAGCTGTGATTTATATGCAATTGCATATTTTTTTCTGTTAACTAAAACATACCATTGCAACACATTGAATAAATTTTGAGTCATTTAGAATCAATTTAAGCTATTTTTATTTCACTTTCGCATATATCACCATAATGGCATATTTGAATCATATTTGCATATTTTACTTGTATATTCACTCCCCATCCACGAAAAGAAGCCCAACAGTTACAGTTCCGTCAGCGTCTAAGCAGCTCTGACAGTTCTCATACCACATTCTACAGTATATCTAAGTGACCTGCTCTGAAGCAATGGGCTTCCTACGTTTTGTTCACGTCACCATTGCCACAGATCATCGTTGTCACTCGCCTGACTCATACAAAGTCGATCGAGAAGCACGCTAAGATGTGTCATCGGCAGTATCATTCCCTTTTTTTTCAATTTACTAATGTTTCTCTTTCAACCAAATATCTTTGGCTCACAAGTGAAACACATAAAGTCAAGATTTTCCACTTCTAGGTTACTTGATTATTGTATTCTAAATTTTATTAAAATTGCGAGAAATTCATATTTTGGATGCAGTACCTATATTTTTTTTTTTATTTTGTGAAATATACACTAACTGCATCTCCCATTATTTTCCTAAGAAATGAGTGTTCTTCAAAATTAAGCCCTTGACTTAATGTTTGTCACTTGTAACAATTTATATAATTTCAGTATCTTTTTTTGCTGTAAACATATTTTCCACATTACACTTTTTATTTACTTTTACACTTACACATTGCATTACACCATTTCCCATATTTTCCTTTTTTAATTGCATGTATTACCAAATATATTTACATATATATGTGCACATTTTGCTGTTTTTATTGCATATAAATCACAGCCCTATTTGTAATGAACATTAATGCAAAGAATATATGAAACTAAAATATACCTTACTACATTTCATGTCAATTCCTCTAAGGTAAGGTGAGCTATATACCCTGATAAAGAAATAATAATTCTGAAACATCGGCAAATTAAAATATATTATTTTATTTATCTGACCAACATTCTATTACCTACATAGAATATTATTACACTTGATCTTGATTTGAAGATTATTTCAAACAAACCTGTTTCGTCTCCTATGGCCCACACCAGAAGATCAACACAAGCAGAATTAGCCATTACATTGACTTTAAATTTATTGACAGTAGTGAATTTATTCTCTCTGTCTTCTCTTTCACTTGCATCATGATGACGACTCTGAAGTTCTGTTTGTCCTGATAGAAACAAGCCCTTCACAAACTCTTGGACATCTTTTGTAAATGGACTTGGTAAATCTTGAAAAAATAATACAATTGTATACTTTATTCAGGGGAGATTGAAAAAGGACCATACCTATTTTTTCTTAAATTACCTTTCTGATACTGAAGCAGTTCGCGCAATAATGTAACCATTACCAAGTTCATTGTCTCACTAAATGTTTTGTAAGGAAATATTTTTATCATTTTTGATGCAGACACTTCTGCAGCTTGATCATCCAAAAAACTCAGCATATCTTTAGTTAACAGTTTCTTTGCTAAAGCAAGAACACTCTGAAAACCATAAAATTATGAAAATGCCTACACATAAATATTTTTTTAACTTAAGACTTTCAAGACCATACTAGATGGATAAGGGTATCATTACATGCAGCCTTAGTTTGAAAAACTAGTGGAGCTAAAACAGCATGTACTTTCTTGCCCACATTTTCATGCAAAATTACACAAAAAGTACTCATTTTCAAAAAAAATTGTATGTGACTATATATCAAAACCTATGTTTACGGAATAGATTTTATTAAGGGATTTCATTAAGGGAAAAAATCTCTATTTTCATAATTGTAGCTTTAGGAAGATGCCGAAAAACTTTTGAACTCACGAGTTTTCAACAAACATGAGGCCTGCACCATTCTCTTAATCATCTTTCACACTATCCAATATAAAATTTAATCAACGGACCCATCTTTTTACAAAATTTGGAAAATTTCCCCAGGCTTCATGTAAAGAATCCTCCAAAATAGAAATATCTGTTTCAAATTCAAGGGGCCACAACATCAGCCAGATTAATTTGGGAATATCAATTTTGGAGAAAATCGACTGAACAGCTTACCCGCTAGCATTGTTCAAGAACAAATGGACGGACATATTGCGATCATTCAATTTTTCAGTATCAAGAACCCACAAAACATGAATTCCGGCTACATCAGGTGTTAGATGATTTCTTTTTCTAAATTTGGCAACTGTATTTATCAACGTTTCCATTACCAGGCCCCTGTAATAAGTTTTTCTGCCGAAAATTAGCTGCTTTTTTTTGTGCAGCATTCCATAACTTTAGTAGTGCGCGTGGCGATGGTGTAACGGTTAGCGTGGATTTTTAAGGGCAAAAAAACCTTTGTACGCCTTCCTTCGGAGGGGAAGTAAAGCCGGCTGTCTGATGTTAGTAGATTTACTTGCATGTAAAAGATCCTCAAGCGTAAATGACACCTTTGAGCTAAATTCAAATCGCTTGTTCCTTCGCCCAAGAAATACCTACTTTCTCTGCCAGCTGGAGAAAGGTGAGTCTCACCACATAAAATAAGGCACAAATTCAATTCATTTCAATTTAAGTAATAGAAAGAATATTTTTCTCATTTTTACTTTCCCATATACATATGTATATACAGAGTAATACACGTAGTACAGGGAAAGTTATGTAATACCGCAGAATATTGATTTCAAGATTTCAATGCAAATACACCTTTTGGGGACCCCTCTTATTGAAAGCATGATTCTTTTAAAAACGTCCATCCAACACTACTAGCTTCTAAACCATGCGTAGGATTTTTTCCAAATTGAAGAAGCCCTGTCCATTTGGCTCGAGTCGAAGCTTTGAGATTTTGAAAAACATTCTGTAACATTTTGGGGTACTTACATGAGGCCCACTGGTGGACATTTTCAACATTTTCTTAAAAACTGCTCCAAATTTGTTCTTTAAGTTTCATCTAAGAATAAAGTAATACACACCTATGAAGGTGGCATAGGTCTGATTTTTAATGTTAATGCTAAAGTTTCTAAATTTTAATGAATTTGAATTTTTTCGGAGTTTTACAACTACAAAATTGAAGATAAAATTTTTCCTTCAAATGAAATTTGTCGTCCATAATTAGTTCTTTCATTAAGGTCAAGTACATTTTTTGGAAATTTTTAATAGTTTTCACACAATATTGCGAGCAATATGCGCAATTTTTTAAAAATTACAAAAACAAAATTTTCTAAAAATTGGCTCTTTTTTTTTAACATATGGTAGGGGTAATGCTAAATTAACTATAAGAGTTGACGTAAATACCGTATTTTTCTATTATTTGTTTTTCCAAAATTACACAAATGTTGTTTTTTTTGTCTCTCACACTGGTAATATTTATATTAACAGCAATTTGTTTACATTATTATATTTATGAGTACATGTGCTTTAAATAATGTGTTATTATGTTTCTCCAAAACTCAACTGTTTTCCATGAAAACTAACTCAAAATTCCGCATTTTCAGAAACACTCATAAGCGATTTTCTTCGAAATGGCTCCAAATTTTTTCTTCAAACTTTTCGAATGGATAGTGATAATTGCACTCTTTATTATGACAAAGTTCACTTCTGGTTATTTTTCAGTTTTTCAAAAATTACAGTAATGTAATAAAATTTTTTTGAAAGATCTCTCACCCGGTTAATATGCACATTTCTAGCAATTTCTAAAGACTATTGAATTTATGAACTAATGTGCTTCAAATGACTTTCCATAAAGTTTTTAAAAAAATCAAAAATTTTCTGTGCTTCAATTTTCAAGAGCTTTAAATTTTGGTTACAGTAGCGTTTAAGCCCCATTTTCTTAAAAAGTGCTCCAAATTTTTGAAAGGAAATTACCATTAAGGACAGTTTTACTATTCTTTAATATTCTTAAAATAATATTTCACTTCTAGTATTATATTAAGAAAATTTCAAAAAAAATGTACTTTACGCAGCAATTGATGGCAGCTGACATAAATATTTGGCAACTTTGTATAGCTAGCCGAGACCTGAGGAAATAGAAAACTAATAGGGAGAGTCTGTGCCATTCTAGCACCACTAGTTAGTCATGATTTTAAAAAAAAACTGATTGATGTAAACGCTATATTGTAATAATGTTGTTATAAGCTGTGTAAAGCACAGAAAAAGAAAGAAAAATTAATGAAATAAAGTAAATATCTTGGCAAAGCATAGAAAAATAACTTGTAAACCTCTCTTTGCAGACTGAAACAGATAATTCTGGGTTAAGATAGAAAACAAGGCATTAGCTTAACTGAAATCATAATTAAAAAGTGTCCAAGGTAGAAAAACGTCCAGAAAGAGTTGCATTGACCCTATTCTGAGAATCGCTGCACAACAACATATTTAGCAACCACACTTCTCTGAGGGTGTACCCTGTACTCTACTTTAACCAAAACCTCTTCCTCTTCCTAAATTTACCTACATCATCGATTATACAATTTCTCTTTGCATGGAACAGATTATTTTTGTTGATGACCAAAATTAATTTAGTCCTATACTTGCATCTCAATGTTTTTATTTATACTAAGGCATGCTGGATTACTGTACAATACTATGCTCACAGTATGGAAAACTTATACTTTTTTGCTCATTCACTAAAATATTCCCAATATGATGGCCTCACTGCAGTTTAAAATAACAATATCTTGACCCCATCCTAAATTTTTTATAAGATGCATCTTATGGCGGGGGTTAAAGCTCATGGGCTCCAAACGTACACCTTGATAAAAATCATGCATTCCTCTTCTTTGGAATATAATCTACTATTTAAAGAAATTATAGATTTTCTTATAGAGAAATTGCATTAAGGTAACTATTTAAAATTAACTTGTTATTATACTTTAAAACAATCTTTAACTAGTCACAATACAATTCACAAATTATATTTTAGAATGCTTTGCCACAAACATTGAAGTCGTGTGGTGTGTCTGGGACTAAAATGACGAATCTTTACTGCAAAGTTGCAAAAGCCTACCTTCCTTCTATAAAAGAGAACAGAATGTCCTGAAATATTATTCAAAGGAACAACTGTGAAAACAACACAGTTTTCCAAAAATGTAGTATTTACAAAGCCATGGCACACAAGACACCCCACATGACCACCTAAGGTTTAACTTCAACAGTATAGTAAAATACCTGTAAATGAACAATAGAAAACAACATTGTTTTCTTTTCAATTGAATCATTCAGCCGCATGTGTGGAAACTGATTAAAACTTGATCCATATTTGCTGAAGAAGTATGTTGTTGGGTCATAGGGAACAGAAGGGTATGTTTGCAAGGAAGGCCTTTTGGTTGTCCCAATACTGGAAATAAACAAACCATACATAACGTTAATACAAACAAATAATAAGTATTTCACTTCACAGAAGAAACAATTCCAATAAAGAAACAATAATGATGACTGAATAAATAAAAAGAAACTTACTGCACATCGGCTGAATCTAGACTTCCCAAGGAAACAACATCAGAGGAGGGAAGGTTACCAGACAAAGAACGAGGAATAATAGATCTGAAATTTGAAAAACTTCTTTTCTTTAGAAGTGAACATTCTGAGGAGTTAAGATTAGGTACAGGAGGTTCAGTGCGTGGGAACAGTCGACACAATAATGGGGGATCAGATGTACAGTATCGACCCATTGAACGTGCTAAACCAATTAAAATGGGAACTGTAGACTTGCACAAAGTTACTGAAAAAAAAAAGTTCAGTATTTAATGATTAATCAGAGGTAAGGGGAAAATCACCAGTAATGCAATGCAAATTTATAAGCATTAAACAACGTATGTAATACTATGAAAAAAAACTCACACTTTGCTGTCGAACCTCTGGGTGTATTTTGCTCTTTGTATTGGCGGCAAAGATTTGTTAATACTCCAAGGAAATCCACCTGAGCAGATATTACTTCTTCTCGAAGCTGTTCTGATTGCGTTGCAATATCAGATAGCAAAGTGTTCAAACAAAAACTGAATCTTTCTGCTACAGGAATTCGTTCTGATGACAAACTTCGTACTTCATCCAACCACACAGCTTTTGCTAAACCTTTCAATAATTTCAAGAGATATGGGACTATTTTGTCACTGTGTTGTAATTTTGATTCTAACAAGTAAATTCCCAAAGCAATAACAGCATCTTGTCCTCTTTGATCCAAACGAAAAACACCCTGTGTTGTTTCTTGTGGACATAAGGCAAACAGCGTATTCACCTATAAGTAACAAGTAAGTGTGAGTGATTTAAGGTAAAATAAACTTATACAAACTGAAAATTTGGAAGAGAAGAATCAATTTCTTGGTTAAAACTCATAAATTTACGATCAAAATATGTAAGACCCAAAACGTTTGACATTCACAATAAATTCATGATTGAAGAAACAATGATATTTGATATCTTACCTTTTGCCATGGTGTTTCCTTTATTGCAGCTAAGGATCGAGCCAAATGCTGAACAGTTTTTCGAAAAAATAACTTCTCGTCAGATGCCATGATTGGGCATATAATAGAAAAAGATGGGCAAAGTCGTCTATCACTTACATTGACCGCTTTAACAGGTGATCTGCATTTAAAGTGTAAAAATAAACAATGATTACTATAATTCATCTGCGAATTTCAATTTAGGTGATTTCGCAATTCAATGACTTTTCTAAAATTCAATTAAGTAAATACCATATTTGTAAAATTCATATTTCCACATTACTAACTCTCCGCATAATCGAGAGAAAAACAATAATTTATGATAATTCTAACTTGTCTATGCCTTGATGCAAGTCAATAGAGGAGTTATAAGAACTGACTGGAACTGACAAGACCGATCTGTAGCCCTTCCGGTGTTAGTGTCATGACAATATCTAAGACGCATACAATTATAAGCACTGATGCAACTTGACACTTCAGATTTACCGATGTCACTAGCACACAGAGAGTATTATAAGTTTGCGGTTGTATTATGTGCACGGCGTAAAAAATATTATCTTACGCCGTGGTCACGGTGTTTTTCTTACATTTTTTAAAATTTCTTCAACACCAATTTTTTTTATTTGACACCAGGTCGTGTTTTTCTTACACAGTAACACGAGTTGAGTACCTTACATGACGTAAGAAAATTACACCAGGTAATCTAAGGACTTACGTGGTGTAAGAGTCTTACACCAGGTCGGGACACAATCGCATTGACAAAGGTAATAATTAATAATATCCATATACACGGTATAAGAAATATATATTAAACCGTGCCAGATAGTATAATATTGGTATAATATCGCGAGATGTCTGACCGAATTTCGTGTGGGCATTCGATTCATCTCTGTTCTGCTGTTTTCTTGAGCCCTTATAGTACGATTTATGTAGTCGTGCACTTGACATAAATCAACTGTTCTGTTGCAGTTTAATTCAATTAGAATGTCGCTACAGGAACTGTGGGGGTTCAAGCACCCGATTGGATGAAACCGTGAACAGCTGATTTATGTCAAGTGCATGGTCAAAGAAATAAAGATCTTGCGTTAATCAGCGCGTGGTGTTGAATGTTTTTGAACTCGACGGCTTATTGAAAAACTTGTTGTTTTGCTGTTGTTAGTTTGAAGTGAATCGGCCGTGTTTAGAACTTTGCTACTTCTTTCGTAAATTGAGCGTTTGTTTCGAAACTGTTGGCAGTTATTTTCAAAGTGTTGTGCATGCAAAATTACATTTTGTGGTATTGTGAGTACGTCGATGCTTAGGTAAAGAAAGCTTATACTGGAGTATTGCATATCTTTATAATGCCCCCTACTATACGTTTGGCTAGTGAACGTGTAGAATTGAGGAAAGTTCAAGATGATAACCCCCCACAAATATACACACCAGGAGAGGTGGTGCATCAAGGAACTGACTATCTAAGGTAGAATTGTAGCATTCGAAAAGCACATTAAGCGTAATTTACTTCACAGCAATGTTGTCAGTTAATTTAATGTTGTTTTTTTGTTTGTTTTTTACTGAAAAAGTGTAATAAATATTCTCTGAGTTGAAAAGAAATTTGTGTTGTAGAGGTCATGGTACATATCTGGATGAGGATTGTGTGAAATCGTCAGTGGCAGGCATTTGTCAAAAAATTAATAAATGGCTCATAGTTCGTCCAATCAAGAAACGTTACAATGGTGAAGTAGGGGATGTTGTAGTGGGTCGAATTTCTGACCTGCAAATGAAGAGATGGCGAGTTGATACTAATGCTAGGCTGGATTCTATTCTGTTATTGTCATCTGTGAATCTTCCTACAGGAGAATTGGTAAATATCCTTTTATCTTGTATTTGTGTTCTTGTATATTTTGTGTAATACTTATTGTATTCAATTTTTATATTCCATTTCAGCGTAGGAGGTCAGCCGAAGATGAAGCAACAATGAGAAAATATTTACAAGAAGGGGATTTAATTTGTGCAGAAGTTCAACAAGTGTTTAATGACCACTCCTTATCTCTTTATACGAGAAGTTTGAAGTATGGCAAAGTGAGTAGATTAAATTTCTCAAGTTAGTGAAATAAAAGCATTATTATGAAACTATGTTGTCTCAAACTTTTTTCTACTTTATTCTAGCTTGGTCAAGGAACACTTGTAAAAGTATTTCCTTCTTTGGTGAAAAGGCAAAAAACACATTTCCATGATTTTCCATGGGGCACTAGTGCAATTTTGGGAAACAATGGTTATATTTTTATATATCCTACCTCTCAGCGTTCTGGGAAAGAAGGTGATGGATATAAAGAAGATGCTGAAGAGGTTTGTAACGTATTAAACAACTTGAATATTCAAATGTGTAAATACAAACCACATGAAAAAACTCATTGCTATAAATGGTTGCATTTTGTAGCTTACATTTTTCTCATTTTTTCAGACAATTACTTTGGAGGAAAGAGAAAATATTGCCAGAGTGCGGAACTGCATTGTGGCTCTAGCTCACTATAAACAGATGTTGTATGATACAAGCATTGCTGTGGCATTTGAAGAATCTAAAAAATACGAGGTTGGTAAAAAGGAATTTTTCTATTATTTGCTTAATGTATATTTGGTATATGATTTATAATAATTTCATACCATGTATTAATAATTACCAATTATAATAATTTGACACATTGTCAGTTTTTCGGGTGAGGGAAGAGAGGAACGCCCTTGCATACTTTGATCTTTTAAATATAATTACTAAATAAAATATTTTCTTTGATATTTGAAATAATTGTATTATTTTTTACTTAATAGCTATGATAAAATTAACTTAAATCAAATTTTTAACTATACCTGCTTTCTATGCAGCAAAACGTCACTCTGAGTAGGGACTCTAACATTCCTCTGGCGTAGTAATCTCATAGCCCTCTTGTGGCCAAAGAGTAAACTGTTTATTAACAGAACCCTATGGCCCAAGAAGAGGAGGTTGCCCATCCATATATACATCTCTTTCATCTAAATTGACACTTCTCTTAGCTCCTCTCTTCACCCACACAAGTCATGTCACACTTTGGTAAGGGGCAAGGCATAGGTGGAGGCTGGCACAATGTGTAATCTTGCTCTGTGAGATGGCGGAAGCCTAGGGGTTGGAACTTGATGAGGTGAACGATAGCTCTCTTCACTTAGTTAATCACTAGTTGAACCATGTATTACTTGCACAAGTTTTCTTGTTACCCAAGCTCCGGAATCCTCACCCAGCTCTGAATAGCAGGACCCGTTTAAATACTTAAGTTCGACTCCGAACAGCATGTACCAATTTACAATGCTGGCAACAACCACCTCGTACTTTGAACTCGTACTTGGAACTCGTACTTGGAATTTGAGGGTCTCCATTATTGATGTAGGAGAGAGGGGGGCCACAATATACTAGTGAAAGAGATTAACTATTTTCCATTTCATGAGCGTTGAAAGATTAGTAGCTAGTTTGAGCTGTAATTTGCCTCTCGTCTAAGAATTAATGATTATGAAATGTCCAAATTATTCTATCCATAGCCTTAATCTTGAAGCATGTAGATGTGAAGGAAACTTGAGGTCTTGGTGAGGGACATTAATATCTTATTCCAACCACTTGAACTTAAGGATGAAAATGGAAGCTGCTGCAATATTTGTTCATACAGGTTTTGGAGGACATTGTTAGTCTGTCTTGCTGGGAGATGGAGCTTATTAGTGTTAGCAAGTTCAGTTTGTGAGGAATCTTTATCTTCTTACTGCTTTTATCTTTGCAGATCACCCAACTTCTTACTCCAGAAGTAATGGCAAAAATTGCAAGTGTTGCTCAACAATCACTTCTTCAACATAGTAGAAACCATTAACCTTGTTCGTAAGATTTTTTTGTCTAAGAAAAATATACTCAACTGAGTTTGGAATTTGTTTTTTTTCTTTCTTTAAACAACCTGTTATATTCCTTGTTACCTGAAAATCATTAATCCAATTGCCTTCAAATTCTAATGAAGATCTCTTATTTCAGGAAGGATTACTTTAAATTTTCTCTTGAAGCCATTTCAGTATGTTATACATTGGGTTGAAAAATTGTTTTTTTTTTTAGGGAAGATAAGTGATTCTTAGGTGCATTCAAACTGTAATTCTACTTGCATTGCAGTCTCTCTCCAACCTTAACAATATTAGGCTCTAAAAAGAAAAGTCTTCACCTGTAAAACTGTTAAATATTTTAGTTTTTTCAAGAGTAATATTGTCAACAAATTAAATTTAATTTTTGACAATTCTAATATATTTTAGATTTCTTAACATTGGTTATCATTAAGTTGCCCCAATCCCTTTAATTATTCAGTAATCCAAAAGTTTTTATAAAAAGAATCGACATTTAGAGAAACGAAAATGATAACTTCACACACTTGTGTTTTAACCAATAAATACCAACAATTAGCATTAACAAAATTTTAGAACATGGTTTGATTAACAAAATATCTAGCTAATGTAAAATGTGTTATCAAAGTTTTTTAAATAACATACCTTTGTGAAGAGATTCCTTTATCATAAAACAATCAGAAGTTTATATGTGATATTTTTTTCATTTTGTTACAAAATCTCATTAAATTATACAATACAATTTTTTTTAAATGATCCAAATTACTTATTTTTAAAAAGTATTTAAGTAAATTTCCTGAGGTGCTGTATATAGTTTCAGATGAACAATAAATTAATATTTTCATAAAATACAATTGTAAGTTAAATTTTTGGCCACAGTTCTATCTTTGAACTACTATTTGATATGAAAATTAGTCTTGCAAATAAAACCACAATTTACCACTGCTTTATATTAATTTTTAGGTCACTTCATTTTATAAAATAGCTAAATAAATTATATAACACAATCGTGCAGAACAATTTACATAGTTCACTGTTCAATTCATTCATAGTTTTAAGAAATTCATGCATGCAAAAATAATGAGAGAAATGCAATAATTGTTCATGCAATATTACAATTTTTAACATGTCACCTTTCCTCTTTCGAAATGTTTTCCTTCAGTGGTACTATTACGTAGGTTCATAATTAGAGTAATCAAATATTGGGAAATTCTAATTTGTTTTTACATAATTTGATAAATTGATATCATATTCAATCACTATTCATAACTTAAGACCTAATAATGTATATTTTGCTTTCTTGAAGCATAAAAATGAAACTTTCTTGAAAAACCAGTAGAATAGTTCGCCTACATTGTTTGATTTTCAACATAAAATTATGTTACTTAAAACTGCTAGTGCAAATAGTAGTATTGCAAATGCAAAACTAAGACAAGATCTTCAGGTATTCAAAGAAGAAACTCACGAAAGCGTACAACATGAAGCACAATTTAGTATTAAAGAATTCACAAGTTCTGAAACAAGGAAGAGGAAGGCGATTCTGAGTAATGAGCAGTCCACAGGACAAAAAGTCCTTACTCCAAATTCCTATATATTAGGAATTAGTAAAAGGCTTCATAGCATCAGAATGTAAAACACCAAAACATTTGTAGTCTGTCCATAAATTCCTTATTCCCATTTTCTTAACCAGGCAGAGCATTGTTTTAGAATCAAAAAATTAGATTTTATTAGGTGAAATATTTTGTTAACCAGGGTATTTTTAAAAGGGTTTAAAATGCATTGTTTGTATGGTGATCTTTTCAGGAATACTTATTTTATTTTCTTAAGCGGGATTTTGTTAAATGAGTTTTACTGTATTCTTAACACACCTTGTTTGCAGACAGTCAAATAATATTGACCGGGTCAAAAAAAGAACTACAAACTTTAGCCCATGAGTGAAATAAAATAGCAGAAATGACATTAAAAATTCCATGAAAAAAACCACAAGGGTTTACCTTCCAAGGAAAGGAGCAATAAGGGGAATGAAGATTGTTATTGAAGGGGAAATAGTAGAACAAGTATCAAGGTTCTAGTGTTTCGACAATAACATTGAGGAAAAATCCTAAGGGTTGTGCTATAAAATTTTGAAATACAATAGCATAAATGGAGTAATAATAAAGTATTTAGGAAGAGACATGACCCAGGAAAGCAACTTAAGAATTGAAGATATAACAGCCAAGTCAGAGCTACAATAGGGCATAAAAACCTTGATCCTGAAATAGGGGGGTATCCAAATGTTGGGGCAGCCCAATCAACGCTGCAATACTTGATAACTTCTTATTGTGGAAAAAATTTTTTGAGTAAGTTTTTTAATTGTTTTGATGATTTAAATTTATTGACTTATTATTGAAACATTAATAAATGTGAATATTTGAAACTTTCTTCTTTGACAAGTAATTTCTTGTTGCGTTTGGCAGCCAAAATTATTTTCTTCAGAAGAATATTCAAATAATTCTAAAAAACATATAAAAACTTGTTTTTCTCTCAAAATGTTATCTGTCCATTTGAAACTTACAATATTTAAGGTTTATTGATTGAATGTGTTCTTCCGCTTATTGAGTGAATATGGTTAAAGGTACTTTGACGAACAAGCATTTGTATGTGCGCTTGTATTCCCTTGTGAATAAATAATCAAAATTGTAGTTTTTGAATAATTTTTGTACTCTTCAATAGTATTGTAGATAACTTAGAATTATCTGCCTCTTAGTGACTCTTGCGTTACCTCGTGAATCGTTAAGAGTTTTGTTCCACAAAGTCTGTAAGATTTCATGCCCAGCGATCCAGTAAGGCCTCTCACAATGGGCACGGTGCTTACACTAGTTGTAAGTCAGTGGTAAGACATGTAGTGTTTTTATCACAGCTCTAAGAACCAATATCCACTCAATGAAAACACTGTAACTCTTCCTAAATTTTGCAAAAGAAAAAAAATTGTTGATAAAATTATAGAAAGACTGATCTTTCAGTTTTATCTGTACTATTTGTAGATTAAAGAAATCCAAAGCACATTAAAATATCTTTAAATTTCCTTTTACGAAATTTTAGTTCAAATAGTTTCAGCTAAAATTAGTTACAAGATGTCACAGAAATTAATACTCCAAGTATTAATGCTCCAAAGCCTGTATGAAGTGTGTCTAAATAAAGGTCAAGGCCTGTATCTCAGTCGCATTCACTGTTTCAGAGCTCGTTGATAAGTGCAGTTTCCACATGTGGATGGCCTGTTTCTCGGCCTTCTGTGAGTGATGCCATGGGAGAGTGCAAAGGCCTGTGATATAGGCGGTGGGTGGGTATTTGGGTAGTATTGCTCATATCCATTTAAATTCCCCTACCAACATTCACACTTCCACACTACGCAAAAATACCTTCCTTTCTCAGGGGTTCCCCTCAAAATTTGTTCTATCCACTAGCAGCCAATGACCTAACACACTTGCAGGTTACATCTCCATCAAATAACGGAAATTTAATTTCAAAAATTCAAAATACTAATATATAAATGGGTGAAAACTATTTAAATTTGTTCCAATGTAACTCAATTAGAAATGAATTTGGTACTATATTAGATCTGATATTTACTAAAGATCCATATTGTAAAAATCTCAAATCTACAACACCAATTTTATCTTGTGATAAATACCATCCTGCTTTACATGTTTTGTTCAGTATTAATGTTAGTTTCCAGTCACTTTATACTGATGAAATTAGATATAATTTCGAGAGAGCGGATTATGTTGCGATAAATAATGATTTGATATAGTTTGATTGGCTTTCCTATTTTGTTAATTCTTTAGATTAATCTTTAGTCTATTTTTATAATACAGTGTACAATATTATTGAAAAGAATGTTCCAAAATACCTTGTAATTCAATCTAAATATCCTTATTGGTATTCGAGGGAAACAATAAACATTTTTAAAAATAAATAAGTTGCTCATAAAAAATATAAAATGACAATGGATTTGATACATGAATATAAACTATTTTTGGATTTTCACAAATCCTGAAAATCTCATATTAAAAAATACTATATTATATATATTGCTAATTTACTCATGATATAAAGTCATTTTGGAAATATACAAATGCTAAATGTGGTACAACTGGTCTTCCGTATGTCATGCATTATCATGATTTGTTTACTACTTCTGGTATAGACATTGTTGAGTACTTTGCAGATTACTTTCAATCTGTGTATAACACTGATTTGAGTTATTGTAAAATCACTGATGTTTATACGAATTCAATAGTTAATGTTGGCCACTTAACTATAACGCAAAAAGAGGTTTTTTCATCAATTCAAAATACTGACACGAATGGTGGTCCTCTACCGGATGGAAATCCACCTGACTTTTTGAAAAATTGTGCATCTAATCTAACGCCTACACTTCACTTTCTTTTCTCTAAATCATTAAATGAAGGGTCCTTTCCAGCCATCTGGAAAAGAGGATTCATTACACCTATCCATAAATCATCTGACAGATCTGATATTAAAAAGTACAGACCATTAACGAAACTTAGTATTATACCTAAACTTCTCGAATCAATAGTAACAGATAAATTATCTAAGCAACTTGATTTGATATTAATTGGTGAACAACACGGTTTCAGACAAGAAAGGTCAACAACCACTAACTTATTACCTTTCCAGCATTTTGTAATCGAACAACTTGAACAATTCAATCAAGTTGATACTATATATACTGATTTTGAAAAAGCTCTCGATTAAGTAAATCATGGTATATTATCACAAAAGATGAGTTACATTGGTATACACGGTTCATATTTGAAATGGTTAGATGATTATCTGACCGGTAGAATGTTAAATGTCAAGTACAAATCTTTCATATCAAGAGACATTGTAGTTCCTTCAGGTGTACCTCAAGGTATTCACGTGGGGCCTCTTCTGTTCTTAATTTATATAAACAATATGAAATTGAAACTTGATAAGTGTAATTTCCTCTTTTTTACTAATGACCTTAAAATACACTCAATTGTTAAAACAACAAATGACTCTGTAAAAGTTCAAGGATGTTTAAATGCCCTTTTCCTATGG